TGGTCCCATGGTATATAATGTCCATATCCAAGAATTTGAAAGATGCATGATTATCGTGCATAAGTTACATGCCCTTATAAACTGAGCTATCGTTTCATATGTTTGCCCTTATGCCACGGCATTTCCCTCAATGCACTTATTATTTGACACTTCAGAAGGTAAAAGCAACGGCACATGCCCAAGCAGCATGCATAAAGCCTTGCTCTTAAAAACAGAAAATTTGAGATGGTTAGCCTTCAGCAGTCCTTTTCCTATACCTGCCAGAAAATTTCAAAGTACATAAATATAGCGACTCAATTCATAGCATCTTTGGCTCTGATTTTAAGATGTGACTTTAAGTGGTATGGGATTCTAGATAAGAGAAGAAAAAGACTTGTTAGTGACACCCATGTCTTTACTAGAAACAATTACTCTACCTACACATACGATAGAAAAATACAAAATTTTAACCCTAAGTTCAAGTCTTAAAATTAATATTTAAATAAATTAATTTTTAATGTATTAAATTGATATGTGATATTAGCATGCATCTTTAAAACCACTGATAAAAAATTATTTTAGAAGTACTTAAAAGTTGATCCGAGAAATATTTAACCGACCAAATAAAAAAATAAAAAAAGTCTAGTCCACTAACCTCACCTGAAGGATATTTCTTACCGGATGTATTGTACTTAAGCTAGCAGTGCCGCCCCCATGAATGAAAAAAAGATACCTTAAACGGAACTTACAAAAGAGAAGAATATTTCCAGGATTCAGATTTCTATCATGATGGGACAAACTTTCAAAGTTTGGAATTGTTTATGACATTTATGTACAAAGGAATAATGCAAATCTATGTGTTTTACATTTTATTTTTCATATTGTGAAACATGTTGCCACTTTCAGGTTTGTGCATTTACGTATTAAATATGCTAAGTGTATTATTACATGTAAAGATGCATTCAATTTAACCATGTTACTGAGATGTGTGATCCATCTGACGCTTGTTCTATTTCTTCTTGTTTTTTTCCATTATATAATTATTCTCCGTGGGTGGAGATTGTAGCCGAAATCAGCTCATGTCATGTGTCCCAATAATGGCAGAAGAACCACCTAGCTACCTTGTGGCTAATCTTTCAATTTCTATAGAACTTTGTAATCTCTCTCATATCCTTATCCATGTGACTTGTACAAGATTGAATCGAATCTCTATGATACTAACTGATAATTAATCATATTGAACACCCTAAGAATGAAAATTTAAGAGATATTTATCTTCCCTTTGTGAAATTGGTCAATGGACATAGTTATGTCAGCTTATGTTGATCCATTCAACTTACTGGATATGTTAGGCCAACCGACTGGTTAACCCCATGATTGATGATTGTGACTTTGTGTCCTTTTTGAAAGATTTAGAGACCCTTTTGGATTTTGTATTAGGACTCTGGAGTAGCAGAAAAAAATGTTATATTTTCCCTGCTTTGGCCTTTAGAGCCTACGTATGTGACTATCTAACATACTTAGGTGAAAAATAATAAAAAATTATTTTACAATATAAGTTATATTAAATTACAAAATAATGATTTTTGAATTTGAGAAGGATTTTTTGATATTGGATCCATTTTCTTCAATCAAAGGTCTTAATTTTGTAATTTAGTACCATCTAAATTATAAAATAAAAAATTCAAAAAAAGAAAAAGAAAAAAAATGAAGGAATTAGGACAGGAGAGGTTGATTGATTGCAACAACGATGTCTGAAAGTGCATGAGGAGCTGGATACTAATCTGATAAACAAAAAATCAATTGTTAATAAATAGTGTAATCAATCTTATATTTAAATCATATAATTTTCCTTTTGATATCAGAGTTATATATCAACTTGATCACCCATTGACCCCGTCCAGGTAAGTTATCAGAGTTATCAACTCAATAACATGCACATACATCTCTAGGTGCAGTTGCAAAACGCTACACCCAGATTTAAGAAGAAACACTCAACTTGGTAATTGAAAAATCAAGTAATTAATCAAATTTTTGTAGAAACAATCATAAGGATGTCTCCCAATATCATGTGCAATGGCTCTGCTTAAATGTTTTTATATATTTATGTTTATTCTTGGATATATGTGATACCCTCTTGTAGAAAGACACTTCAGTCCTGGAATTTTTGACGTTGCACATTGAGAACGAAGGGCAGTTGTGTCCTATCAGTCCGTATAAGGTTCATTAGCTTATGCTCCAAGGATAAATAAAACTTTTGCTTGATTAAATGCTATCATAAACTAGAAGAGTTTTTCTTTTTTTAACAAATTAGCAAAAAAGTCAAATTTAAACAGTTATTTAAAAAAAAAAAAGCATTTATATGTAATTTAATGTTACTAAATAGAAGATCCAAGTGCATAAACTAAAAGAGTTTTAAACAAATTCCAAGAGAAAAAGGAGGTAGGATGGGTCTTGAGTCGCATTAATTAGATGCTTACAACTTTGGTTTTAGAACCCTTTAAAAAAAAAAGAGAAAAAGAAAAAAAATAAAGAGAGAGAGAGAGCATATAATCCCAGTGTTATTATATTTTTTTTTGTCCCCAAATGCATTTTGAATTATCCATCAATGGCATGAGCTTGTGTCCTTTTTAAGTCGTCAAGCAATTTTCAATGTAAAAATTAAATTCAAGAATGTATATAACCTCAATGTTTTGCTTAAAACAAACACAATTAATCTTCACAAATATCATATGGCATCAAACAATCCAATGATCCATGCTGGTTCATGCATTTTATTGAATTAAAGGAATCAATAAAACCTATTATCCTGTTACATTGAGATAATTTGTTGTCATTTTCATATATGTAACTTCCAGACAATATGATGAATTAGATGAATTCCTTGCTCTCTTCATAATGTCTTTAGACTCTTTTTCCCCTCTTCCATATATACTTTCCATTCACTTCCCTATCCACCCACATGCTATGTACATGGATCAACCTGTTTCTAATTATGGCTCAAGCATTTACGGGGCATTTGGTTGGGGAAGAAAGTTTCCCCCTAACTTTCCCCTTTACCATTTTAGAGTTATATATGTATTTTTACACTTTAATATTACAATAAATAAAAAAAAAGAGTAATGGTGACATTTTTAGTTTTTATATGCTACTATAATTTTCAACCTATAAACTTTTATTTTTACATTTTTTGGAAAGAAATTTTTTTTTTCCAACTTCCTCTACATGAAACCTATTAACTTTTCTTATATCAATTACTATTTATGAAATACAGCCTAACAAAATTCTAACTAAATTTCATTGTAAAACTTATTAATTTTTCATACAATGTATTTTAAATTTATGTACATCACTCTCTAAGTTAATTGTATAGATGTTTGAAATTAATAAATAACAATTTAATTTAATTTAGCTGTTGATAATTATTATTATTAATAATAAAATTATTTTTATTCATTAAATTAAATAAAATTATTAATTATTTATCTTTAACCACTATACTAAACAATCCTAAAGTTGATCTCTAACAAGCCACGCGTTTAGTTTTTTGCGAAACAAAAATCATAATTAAGTAGAGTTCAAGTCATTACAAACAGCGCATGATGCAATGTAACTTGCTTTTACTGATGCAAGTGTCTGTACTGGACTTAATTAATTTCTTATGCTGCCTTGTTCTGATGCAGTTGTATTATTCCATATGTTATGGTGCATATTGCATGGTAAAATATTGAAATGCAGTTGCCTTTTCACTTGTTCTGATGCAGTTGTATTGCCTATATAATTGAAGGTTTTTATGTTTGCGTTCTAGGAAGAGAAATACAATTATTGTTCATAAAAACAGAATTGAATTTTTGCTTTTCCCTAGCTTCCATGATAGGTCATACACACATCCTAAATACTAACAACATCACGACTACTATATAGTGTTTCTGCATCGCAATGGATGGTGTTGTCTATGGAAATAATGGTTCAATCAATACACAATTAGTGATGGTGTCATCAACATCAATAAACAACTTTCAATATTGAGGCATAGCATAGCCCCCGGCCCCCCAACACTTATATCACTCTCAAACGGGCAAGATCAAAGGACCCACCCTCCAACGTTACCGTCTCCCATTGAATCCAAATCCTATGTCGGTAAATTCCAAATTCACTGAAAAAAGGAAATGGAGGGAGCAGAAAAAGGGAAAATGTGTTTGTGAGAAAGAGGTGAAGTGGAGAAGAGCAAGGCGAAAGCATCATTCAAACTTCACCACCTGCCTGCCCTTCACAAGGGTCGGTGACCCTTAACGTTGGGATTTCTGAATCAGACACTGTTTCATGACAGTCCCCGTTGACTTGTTACTGTAGGGTAATGCGCCCTGAATAACCTCCACTTGCCAGTTGCCAGCAATTACGCCTTCCCAATCCCTAGACAACAACTTTTACTTTAAACAATAGTCCCTTTTAATATGTGTGTGTATATAATTCCCTCGTCTCTCCACTCCAAGACTCCAATTAGCCAGCTCTTCTCAATTTTTCTATTCTTTTCGTTTCTTTTGTTGGGTTCAGGGTTGAGAAAGAGATTAAATTTTTTGGAAGCAATATTGGCCTTGGGGAGCTTTTGGGTGACACAGGAATAGCAGAAGAAAAGGGAAAAGGAGAAATTTCCTGGGATCATTTTGGGTCCTTTCTAACTCAAATCCACTTGCTTTGTTTTGTCTTTGTTTGTGATTGGATAAGTAATCCACTTCTATTCTATGCTCAAACCATTTCTCTTCCATCTATCCCCTGCAAAAACAAACCCAGTTCTTCCATAAAAATTCAAATTTGATCATAGAGATTGAAGTATCGGAGGAGTTCGGGACAATTTTGTTGAGGATGGTGACTGGCTGGAGGAAAGCCTTCTGCACATCCATACCCAAGGAGCGGGATTCAACAGTACTTGCAGAAAAGCAGCAACAGAGCGGTGGCGGTGGAAGTACCATCGGAAGTACAAGCAAAAGTCCGAGATTCGGGACCAGGTTCGGATTCTTCTCCAACCCATCAACGCCTCGTTTGCAGTCACAACCAGTATCAAGTCCGAGCCTACTGTGCCGCACCACCACCACCGCCACTACCCCCATCTCATCCGCTCCCAACAGCCCCAAACTTCAATGCAAAATCATCACAACCCCGAAAAAACAACCCAACAGCAACAATAGCCCCAGATTGTTCCACTTCTCCAATCCTTCATCTCCTAAATCCCCGTCCAGTTTCTCTCTCCTCAAAGCCACTCTCCGTCTTTCCAAGGTAAGCACTTTAAAATGCAATGTATCATGATTTCCATTATTTCTGGGAAAAAGGGAAAAAAGAAAGCTTATTGCTGACGTTTTCTTTCTTCAATTTTAGCAGACGAGATGTGGAATCTGCTTGCAGATTGTGAAAACCGGACAGGGGACGGCAATTTTCACGGCAGAGTGCTCCCATTCTTTTCACTTCCCCTGCATAGCTGCTCACCTCAAGAAGAACTATTTACAGCTATGCCCCGTGTGCAGCACCAGCTGGAAGGAGCTTCCCTTATTGTCTGTTCAAGAAAAAAAGGCAGAACCTGAAGCTAAACCGCTCAAAGACATCATAACGAAGCCGTTGCGAGTCTACAACGACGACGAACCATTGAAGTTCAATCCAATACCGGAGTCTGAAGAAACAGAGAATGACGATGAAGAAAGTGAACATGAGTTTAAAGGATTCTTTGTAAAGGACAGTATTACTCCTAAATTTAGCAGACAGATCGCAGTTAATTCGAGAAATGTGGAGGTGAGATTGTTACCAGAGGCGGCGGCAGTGGCCTTGAGCAGGAGCTACGAGACTTACGTGGTGGTTTTAAAAGTGAAAGCGCCAGTGCTCCCGGCGGCGCGTGGGCAGAGACATCCTCCTATTGATTTGGTGACGGTGCTCGATGTGAGCGGGAGAATGAGCGGTTCCCGGCTGCAAATGATGAAACGCGCCATGCGGCTGTTGATATCTACTCTCAGCGAAACGGACCGTTTATCAATTGTCATATTTTCTTCAACTTCCAAGCGGTTGTTGCCGTTGCGGAGAATGACGGCCAGCGGAAGAAGATCGGCGCGTAGGATCATCGAAGAGCTGGGAAGCAACGGCCAAGGTATGAACGTGAACGACGCGCTCAAAAAGGCGGCGAAAGTGCTGGAAGATCGCCGAGAGAAAAACGCCGTCGCGACGATCATGCTCCTATCGGACGATCGCGCCGAAATGTCCCAAACAAACCGAACCAATCAGGATTTCGCAGTCGTCTCATCCACGCGCTTTCCACAGTTTGAAATCCCCGTCCTCTCCATTGGTTTCCGCGAGTGTACTCACGTGCCTAGCCATGACGCCTTCGGTAAAGTCGTTCGCGGTCCACTGAGAGTGGTGGTTCAGGATCTCCGCCTCCAATTAGGATTCCTCTCCGGTTCAGCGCCGGCGGAGATCGCTTCCGTATATTCATTAACGGCTCGCCCCGCTTCACTCGGGTCGGATTCATTGCGGGTAGGCGATCTTTACGCCGGCGATGAGAGAGAATTGCTGTTGGAGTTAAAAGTACCGGCATCGTCCGGTGGAGCCCACCGGGTCCTATCGGTAAGATCCTCGCACAGAGATCCATTTACACAGGAGGCGGTCTACTCGCAAGAGCTAGGTCTACTGATTCCCCGCCTGTACGCCGGACGCTCCACCTCTCCGAGCATTGGACGGTTGAGAAACCTCCATGTAAGCACTCGAGCGGTGGCTGAGTCACGGCGGTTGATCGAGCGGAATGATTTGACGGCAGCGCATCACTTGCTCTCCTCGGCTCGAGCCTTGTTGATGCAATCAGGCTCCGGCTCCGCTGATGAATTCCTGCCCGGCTTGGAAGCCGAGCTAGCAGAACTGAGCCGGCGCCGGCAGCAGGTGCAGATCCAGAGGCAGAGAACTAAAGCGAACGGTCAGGTGGTGGACAAGGCAGAGGCGCTTACTCCGATATCGGCTTGGCGAGCGGCGGAGAGATTGGCTAAGCTGGCGATTATGAGAAAGCATATGAACAGAGTCAGCGATTTGCACGGCTTTGAAAACGCCAGATTTTAGATTTTCCTTTTTGTAATACAAAAAACAACGGAAATATATTTTACTCGTATAAAAAATAAATTGGTATTAGTGTTTATCTGGTTAAATTCTAAAAAATTAAGAAAAAAATACAAAATTATGTTAAAATACAATAAACAAACCAAAATAATCTTAATTGACTTAAGAATAAATTATTTTAGATTTTATTAAATAAAAATTTATAAAATAAAATAATTTGAAATTTTTTTGTTAACTTTTAGAGATAAAATTGATATATATCATTTATCAAATAATTTTGAGTCAAAAAAATTGCGAAACAAAAGATAGTTTAGATTTTATTTTTTTTTAACAGGTATAACTTTGAGAATGAGGGATTTTAAATTCCAACGTTTAACTAAAGATTATTTATAATTATTGAAGCAAGAAGGCCATGTGCAAAGATAGTTTAGACATGAGAAGACTCCAATAACAAAAATTCAGTTTCATCCCACAATTATTATTATGCAATTTTAGACTATACAACAATTTTCAAAGAAAGTATCCAAATATTTATGATTTGAAGCGGGTCCGGGCAATAATGTTGACAGGCAGTACTGGACGGCTAGGCCCTTTTGTTGAACCCCACTTCTACTCTGATTGAGAGGAACTCTTTTGTCTCTACTTTCTGTTTTGAAATATATATATATTAAATAGCGAAAACAATAAACGAGAGAAAAAAATGTGGAGTTGGAATGGAAAAAATTATAACGTTTTGGGTTCTATGGTTGTTTAGTTGATGGGTCTAAATCAAGAGAATGTGTAAATTTTGGATGTTAGTGCAAAATTGGTGAGCTGGTTCTATGATTTGTTTGTTTTTTTGTATATGGTAGGTCTGGGATTGGTTAGGGGTTACAAAACTGAAATTTTTAGATTCTGAAACTAAAACCTTATTCAATTGAAATTTCTCAAATTTTGTATTTTTTATTATCAAGATTTGTTGAAACATGATATTGTTCAATATTGGTTTTAGATTCTAGTAGCTAAACTCGAGTCAAATACCTAATTAATTTTATAATTATCTTTTTATTAGAAATAATAGAGGTTATTTGAATGGGTTGATTTGATACAATTTATAATTAATAATTAATAATCAATTATTGATAATTATTGTTATTTATAATTTAAAATGGGAAATGCTATTGAAACAACTATTTTTTTTCATTTTTTTGTGCAATCTAACGTGTTATTAAAATAATTAATTCTTCTAATTTATATGGAATCCGTAATATTACATGTATCTCTTCATTTAATGACACATAGAGATTGTATAAAAAGATGGGATAAAAAAGTTAACTTAATAATATTACCTAATTCAAAATAGTTGAGTCATTCGGTTAGACTCAACAATTGATAACTGTTCTCTAATATTTAAAAAAAAAACACCCCCATAAATATTGAATACAAACTGTATAACTAAATATTTTTTATTTTATAACTTAAATTTTTTTTTAAAAAAAGTAAACTCTAATCAATTAAATGGGCTAAACATTACCCTACTCGTTTTACCCTATAGAGGTTTTGCTGATGTATTGATATAATAGCCAATGTGGGGAGTGCTGTTGAGGGTTGAATATTTAATTGTTAAGGAAAATGCCAAATTCCAATCGCGCTGTTGATGGTGAATGGCCAGTTGATTTTATTTGCAAGATAAGGACTATAAAATTTTCAAAGAGGGATCTTTTGCAATCTTTCTTTTCTTAAGCCTAATCATGCTCAATCGCCTTTTTAAAAAATATGGCATACAATTTTGTTTCCTTGCAGTGACACCCATTATGGGTTTCACTTCTACGGCGCAATTCATTAAGCACCTGATCTGAGAATTGACGTATTGTCCAATGAATGCAAATGAAGAGGTTGAAATGAACGAATCATTCCATCTTTTATGCGCGGCTCTTGTGTCGCGCACTATAAAAAGATTTTGGCCCGCCCTTGCTTTCCAATCATCCTTGGAATTTCTTCCCAGGAACAGGATATGGTGAGTGCTCCTTGATAGCTGATGTTATCAATATAAGTAAATATAAATTACGTAAAATTAAAGAATTCATGAAAAATTATCTTGGTAAACTATGTTAGCTGAATCAGATCAATGTAAGAAACTTTTACACTAGAATTTGCCTGCATTGTGTGTGGCCACAATCATGTCTGTTTTTACAACCTGAAAGTCATGACCAAAAGGTAAACATCATTGATGAGATAAAAATTAAAAAGGACAGCTCTACACTCCAGTGCTGATTATCGCACTGGAGATTACCGGAACTGGCCCATCCATCATCAAAACAGCAACGGCATTGTCGTTTTATCGACGGTAACCATCATTAAATTTAGGGAACATATGTAGATTTTTAAATCGGCTTGTAAAGAAAAATACAGAAATATTTGTTAAAAGACATAAATATCATTAATAAATCAATTTATAAGGGTAATATGTTAAGAGTATGTAAATAATTTTACATGCATTACTTTATTTTCTTTTTATAAGTTGATCTAAAAATCAATTTTATACTAAATTAATAGATTTATCATGGTTATTTTTAGTAAACAATCAACTAGAAATATCAGAAGATGCAACCGTAGGCACCAATAATGTTATTGGCATCATTGGCGAAAGTTGGCAGCATTAACATATGAGATGTCGATATCCAATGAAGGGTTCCAATTATTCAAAGAAATGCAAGTTCCTTTTATTGAAGAAGAAAGTTGATCACATCAAATGGTTTATACTTTAAAGTAAACTCATGGACCACGTAATTATGAAATCACCTTAATTCCAAAGAAAAGAAGCATGATCTTCATCCCATAAAGCACAAGCTAATCACATGGGAGGATCACTAGTAGAAAAGAGTGCGGAAATGTCTATGGAAAGACGTAAATATCTTTAATAAATCAATGCATATGTGTAATTTATTAAGGGTATTCAAATAATTTTACACGTATCGTTACACTTTTCTTTGTAAATCGTTTGAAAAAACACTTTTACATTAAATTTATAGGTTTATCATGGTTACTTTTAGTAAACAATCAGCTAGAGAATTCAGAAAACGCAAGCTTACCTGGTTAAGATCAGGCTAGCAGATAAATGAACCCACCAATAATGTTACTAACATCATTGGCGAAAGTTGGCAGCATTAACGTAAGAGATGTCGCGATCCAATGAAGGGTTTCAATTATTCAAAGAAATGCAGTTCTTTCCTTGGCTTTTGGTGTACTGATGATCCCCTTAAATTGCGCAAAACTTTATGTTTAGACCTTTTTGGATGAGTGGGGTACCTTTAAAATTGCAATGGCTTTTGGATGTGAATATCGAAGGTGAGAAGTTTAGCACCCCGTCCGTCCTTTATTTTATGCATATTTCACCAACACTGATATGGTAAGCAGATGCATTTGGGAGGAACAGGAGGAAAGTGGACCTGCCGAACCAAAGATAACCTTTAACTTCTGTTCAAAAAAGTTTGAAAACAGACTTAAAACCAAATGACGAGGAGTTATAGAACAGAAAATTTTAAGTCAGTTTATCACAACGGTAATTAGAGGAGGTTGAATCATCATGTGTTATGATATGAAGGCAAAATCTGATGAGCTAGGAACGAAAAAGCTAATAATTCCATGCCTTACCAAAGGAGATCTCTTAACACTAAATTAAACATACCTTAAGATCCAGCTCCAGTAGTATGAGTTTAGGGTCATCACCGCAGGCCAACCCCTAGGAAAGGTTTATGAACAGGAAACAACAGCCTGGAGTAGTGTTGTTCGTTTTGTGGTCCATTTAGTCTTCTGGACTTCTGGTTCTAGGATTGAAAGCTAGAAAGCAACATGTTATCCATTCCCAACATAGAATGTTGAAAGAATTTCTATTTACAACAATGTTCATGGACTAACAGTACACAATTACAGACATTTCCACAGCTGCCACATTGGCTCCCACCATACAACAACAATTTCTATCTACTTCTACGCATCCCATTTCATCTAAAAAGGAAAGAGTTTTAATACAATCCCGTTTAGATGTCAGTGGAATACATCAGAAGAACAGCTGCCTACATCGTGCTGCATCAATATCAGAGGGGCAATACGGGCACTTGAAAGGTTTTGAGTTGTTCTTTGACATCTTATTGATTGACTGCTTGCAGAGGACATGGCCACACGTCATCATCATTGGTGGATTATCATCTGTTGATTGCTCCTTAGACACTGGGCAAACAAAGATAGAATGGAATTGGAACTCCTTACCTAACTCCACTGGCACAGGCAACTGCTTCATGG